ATGCACTAAAAGGGGTAAGACATTTAAAAGAGAGGATACGAAACCCAAAAGGGGGGTTAAGAGACACACAGGTGAAAATGCTTTTTTTGGGGGGGATGGGGGGGTGGCAAAATGCATCTTTGTCTGTGTACCCAACAATTCTTGCACTGGCCCTGGCTGCAAGGGAGGGTCAGAGGAAAGGGAGGGGTTGCAGGAAAGGGGGAACAGAAAACTTAAGGGGTTGCTGGGAAATGGTTGTTAAAGAGAAATGGAGGTGCTGCAGGGGAAGGGAGGGGGAGAGAAATAGAGGGGCTGCAGGGGAGGAAGGAAATAAATGGAGGAGCTGCAGGGGAGGGGTGAGAGAAATGGAGGCTGCATGGGATAAGAGGGGGAGAGAAAAATTGAGGGCTGCAGGGGTTAGGAGGGGGGATAGAGAAATGGAGAGGAGGGAGCGGGGGAAAGATAAATTAAGAGGCTGCAGGAGAGGGAGGGGGATAGAGAATTGGAGTAGAGGGGGAAGAGAGACACATGGAGGGGCAAGAGTGAAGGGGGGTGAAAGACACATGGAGGTGCCTGGGGGGAATGATACACAAGGAAGGGCTGGAGGGGGATGATACACATGGAGGGGATGGGGGAGGAAATTACACACTAGGCAGGGGGTGAGACACATGAAGGGGCTGGGGAGAGGGAATGAGACACCATTAAGCTTTCGAGGCTGAGGTTTGGAAACTTGAACCTTCAGCTCCCTCCACAGATGTTCTATGGGATTAAGGTCTGGAGACTGGCTAGACCACTCCAGGACCTTAATGTACTTCTTCTTCAGCCACTCCTTTGTTGCCTTGGCTGTGTGTTTTGGGTCATTGTCATGCTAGAATACCCATCCACAACCCATTTTCAATGCCCTGCTTGAGGAAAGGAGGTTCTCACCCAAGATTTGACGGTACATGGCCCCCGTCCATCGTCCCTGTGATGCGGTGCAGTTACCCTGTCCCCTTAGCAGAAAAACACCCCCAAAGCATAATGTTTCCACCATGTTTGATGGTGGGGATGGTGTTCTTGGGGTCATAGAAAGCATTCCTCCTCCTCCAAACACGGCTAGTTGAGTTGATGCCAAAGAGCTTGATTTTGGTCTCATCTGACCGCAACACTTTCACCAAGTTCTCGTCTGAATCATTCAGATGTTTATTGGCAAACTTCAGACATATCTGTACATGTGCTTTCTTGAGCAGGGGGACCTTGCAGGCGCTGCAGGATTTCAGTCCTTCATGGCATAGTTTGTTACAAATTGTTTTCTTGGTGACTAGTCCAGCTGCCTTGAGATCATTAACAAGATGCTCCCATGTAGTTCTGATTCCTCACTGTTTTCATGATCATTGAAACTCCACGAGGTGAGATCTTGCATGGAGCACCAGACCAAGGGAGACTGACAGTTATTTTGTGTTTCTTCCATTTGCGAATAATTGCACCAACTGTTGTCACCTTCTCACCAAGCTGCTTGTTGATAGTCTTGTAGCCCATTTCAGCCTTGTGTAGGTCTATAATCTTGTCCCTGACATCCTTGTGCAGCTCTTTGGTCTTGGCCATGGTGGAGAGTTTGGAATCTGATTGATTGACTGATTGCTTCTGTGGACAGGTGTCTTTTATACAGATAATGAACTGAATCTCATCTGAATCTGAATCTTTAAGAGAGTGCTCCTAATCTCAGCTCGTTACCTGTATAAAAGACACCTGGAAGCCAGAAATCTTGATTATTGATAGGGGATCAAATACTTAATTCACTCATTGACATTTATAACTTTTTTGACATGTGTTTTTCTGGATTTTCTTTTGTTATTCTGTTTCTCACAGTTAAAATACACCTACCATTACAAATCATTTCTTTGTCAGTGGGCAAACGTTCAAAATCAGCATTTTTTTGAATACTTTTTCCCCTCTCTGTAGGTGAAATGAGACACCCGGAGGGGCTGGGGACAGAAAGAATGAGAATGGTTTCTAGTTGCGCCTATGCTTCACAGTATCCCAATATTAGTGGGTTATACAGTCATTCCAAACGTGGGAGACAAATCAAATAGCACTAGTGCTAAATACAGCAACATAATAATAATAATAATAATAATAATAATAACTGTTATTTATATAGTGCTTTCTCCCAGTGGGACTCAAAGTCCTTTTCAGCGCACTCTCTCAGAATTAACCAAATCGACAGCTGAATAGTAATAGATGTTATTTTTACCCAATTGATGGTACTCAGTTTATTGACCTCGGAAGGATGAAGGGCTGAGTTGAGTCAGGGAATTTACCAACTAAGCTTCCTCACCAGCCTCACTTAAAGCACTTCCCCTGTAAAACTCGAGTCAGACTCAGTTCTTATTCAAATGTTGCTCTTGTAGAGCATTTCATTGGTGCAGAGCGGTGTCTTGCCAATCATAGGTAATCAACACAGTAAAGGAGGAGACTATATTTAAAAGAAGAAAAACTACCACAACAAGAGGACATAGTCTTAAATTAGAGGGACAAAGGTTTAAAAATAATATCAGGAAGTATTACTTTACTGAGAGGGTAGTGGATGCATGGAATAGCCTTCCAGCTGAAGTGGTAGAGGTTAACACAGTAAAGGAGTTTAAGCATGCGTGGGATAGGCATAAGGCTATCCTAACTATAAGATAAGGCTAGGGACTAATGAAAGTATTTAGAAAATTGGGCAGACTAGATGGGCCGAATGGTTCTTATCTGCCATCACATTCTATGTTTCTATGTTTCTATAGTCATAAGTCTCCCTATGCTTGTGTTGGATTGGCTGAGAGCATCTACTTTGATGATCTCAGCCATTGAGGCAGTGTAGCGACACCAAAACCAGCATGGCGAGGGTTGACTGGTAACTATTACTTTCCTTTCAAATCTTTCCTTTAAAAGGCGGATGCCTAAATAGCTATGGGAACACTTTAGTATTAGCATTACATGTTTGTAATCCTAACACTATAGTATTCCCTTAATTCTTTGTATCTGGAAGTCATAGAGAGAGACTGAATGTAGCCGATGAAATGAAACAAAGAATGGAAAAAAAAAAGTTGAAACTAATTACACTGTAAGAATGAGTGAAACACAACAAAATTATTTTGCCTGACATGTTTTGGCAGTAAGTCTGGCAGGAGATATTCAGTTCAGATAAAAGTCTCTATGAATGTAACATGCAGCAAGCAATTTTATAACATGACAGGAGGCTTTGTATTTGCTTAAGTCTCTCTTTACTAGAACTCAACAGCAGCACAGAAAAAACAACCAATCAGAAAAAAGTTAGGTACTATAAAACTCCCCTCCCCGTGCATCATTCCCTCTTTCTTTGCAGAGTACCACTGCCTCCTGCTTCTAGGGTGGCTTTGGGATTTATTGTCTTTTTACAGTTCTTTATAGAGGTTTATTGGGGGATTGTATGTGCATCTTATGCTTTCCTATATTTTGTTAGACTTACTTTGGTTTCATGGGGGGGGGGGGTCTTTGTCAGCCTTACTGTGTCTTCATAGACATTACAATGCCTTTATAGACATTACAGTGCCACTGAAATATCTTTCAGTGCCTTTATATGTACCCTTTATAGTTACCTTATGGTGCCTTTATATACTATACTGCACTGTCATTTTGCTCCCTGTCGCTTCATATATCCCCCAACTTCCCCCTCTGTCTATTGCCATAAGCCCCCCTTTTTCTTCCATCTGCCGTTTTGCTTTCGGCGGTTTAATACTGCTCAGAGGTCTCAGGAGGCTTTATGCTTCCGACCACCTATGAGACCTCCGAACTACGGGACCTTGGGGTGCAGGTCTGACGCTCCCGTGCTCAGTCTACCGGCCCTGGAATGCCAGACGGCCGGAACTTATTTCCTGCATGGCCACTTGCCGCGGCCGGCTCCCTAGTCGGACCACGTGCGTCCGACCGGGTGGGGGAGGCTGTGCCTGCTTGTGCCCCCTCCCCCCCGGATGATTACTCACCTTCCTGATACTGGGCATCACGAAGGAGGGGTTTATATATATTTTGTTAGACGGTGGTTGGATAGGTAGTTGGGTCCCCTATCTAGTGGAAATCTTCTAGCCTTATCTAAATAGGTAAAGCTACATTCATATCATGGCAAATATACTGTTAAATTTTACAGACCTTCTGCAACTAGTTTTGTTAATAGGTGAATTTGATAGGATTATGTTACCTACACTTCATTATCATAACGGACATACCTATTGTGACAAGATTTCATGAGACCATACACACTACTAGATGTTTTTCCTGCTTACTGCCAGAGTTCCTATGTTAGTGCTCTTAGCACATTTTTCTCTTTACCGTGAGGGTTTGGTATACTGTATGGCTTTCACCTAATTAGCCAAGAATCTATATATAGAGAGGAAGCTCTATCCATGCAGTTTGGTCTCCTGCTGCTGGCAGAACACTACACCTATGTTTGGCCTGCTATGTCTGTGCCCCATTGATTGGCCTGCTATGTCTGTCCCCCATTGACTGGCCTGGTATGTCTGTGCCCCATTGACTGGCCTGCTATGTCTGTGCCAGAGCCCCCTTTTGGCTGCAGGCCTGGGGAATATCACAAAAGTAAGCCCAGTACCCACTATGGACATGGAAATAGGTGGATGTCCAGGCAAGCACTGCTGCCATACTGTCCAAGAGGACACCAGTATATGGGCACCTAAATGTGATTGGAAGGGTGAAGGCCCTAAACCTCATGCCCTAGGGGCAAGGCTTTTTATGAAGATCCCCGGACGCGCAACCACGGTTTACGCCAGCCCGGCGGCGGCACATCTCCAAGGAGGACTTCGCACGTGATGGGTCCAGTGCTCAGACACCATCAGGGGAGTACAGTGTTTCCTTGTCTTTGGCAACTATCCCTTTAGCTGCCTTTCTGGTATCCATTTTAGGTATTGGTAGTTATTTCTGCATCAGTTTTAGCTCCTGGCCCTCAGTTGGGTTTACTTGTCTGGCTTTTCTGGTCTGCCTTTTAGCATCTCTCCGAGGTACGTATTTACCTTAATTACATTATTGTCGTTTCTTTGTTTTGTGCCTTCCAATTTTCCTATCGCTTGGGTCGTCAAAAGGCCTGACTTGACCTTCTCTGACCTCCCGGGCTCTCGTGGATTGGGGAGAACGTCTCCAGCTTTCCTCAGGCTGCCGACGGTCATCCTGGACTCCGCAAGCGTGCACGGGATCCGGGCGGGCTGTTGGTAGATTCCATTTGTATTCTAGAGGTTGCATTCTCTCAACATACCTTTCTGTTTTTCAAGATGGGCACAGCCCGAGGTTTATTACCAGTTGATTTCACCTCTCAGGTGAGTGATTCAGAGAGAGGTCTTGTGGTCAGAGAGGGACCCCCATCAGGATGATGCTGATATTACTAAAGGGTGAACCCCCGCAGTTGGTCACCCTGAGTCTCATATGGACTCTAGTTTGGATTGCAAGAGGGGTGGCCCTCCCTTTACCTCGGCCCGAGATTTATATTTATTTACACGAGTAGAGAACAAATCCCTCTCATATACTGAACCGAACACTGATTCGTTATTAGAGGGCACGGCCCTCCTCCTACCTCAGTCTGATACTGAGATGGATACAGGAAACATGTTCTGAGTGTGGCCCACTCTCATAGAAGGAACCGGACACAGATGTAGACACTACCTTTTGTTATGAATGGGTACGGCCCGCTTCTGCTATCAGCCTGATGCTGACAGAGTTCGATTACACTGTTAGAGAGTGCGGCTCTCTCTCATTCACGCATGCACTACGGTGCCTCCCCGTTGTTCATCACACCGGCTTGTACCTGTACAGGACAATGATGTTTGCATAGAGGGGCGTCCCTCCTACATTCAATTCAATATGGAGGTGCGTGCCACATACCGGATTTACCGCTCGTGCTTCAGCTCTTGTACAGGGGTTTAGTACCTCACCGGTATGCAAGGCAGACGATGCTTCATAACCACTGGATAAGGGGAGAGACCCCATCCATTTAATCTAATGTCTTTGCTACTGGCTTCGTTATAGAGGGCTACCGGATCGTGCAGGGTATAAATGTTAAGACCGGAATTCTCTATTTCACCTCCTATAATGGACCTGCTGGGTCCGTACCACGGTATCTCATGCGAGAAATACTCACTGAGGTATTACTGGGGGAGGTTCCGCACCTTATTTATACGCTCCCCTGAGATTTTATGGGATAGTGTAGGGACTGTTTGAACTGTCCATCTTGGGTACAGCTCTCAGGATCGACCCATTTTGTTGGTGACCCTATACCTCCCTATGGGATGTACTCCTTGAGATTGTATGGCTAACGGAGGTGCCCCAGTTATTACTTTTGTATGCAGGTTTTAGTATGATCTACGCTGTATCAAATAAACAATCGCACTCTGTCTAGGTTATACAGACCATTGCGTACAAATGATTCAGACTGTTTTTACCCATGTCAAGGTGAGACCCTGAGACCTTCATAGAGCAAACGTGCACTTCCTTACCCGCGTGACAAGACTTGGGAAGGCCCACAACCTGGGCTGCAGGTACACCGTACACTTAGATTGCATGGAGAGAGTGGAATCTTCCGTCGACTTTGGGCTCCCTGGTTGTTTACAACCTTGGGATAGAGGACAGGACTGCCTCCGCTCCTCTGAGAACATAATTCGGTTATGGAGGACCCTCTTGGTATGATTTAATCCACCTATGCAACTACCGTCAAGGAGGCCTGCTTGGACTTTATGTGGGGGAACCCTGTGTACCCCGACTCCTACACAGACAACCTACAGGCGGAGTAATGCTCAGGATCGGTAGCAGGTTTGGATATGACTGCCGATGTTCCCTTACTGGACTGACCCTGCTTCGGACGGTTGAAGCTAGGACCTTGTTTGTTCACTATATGTGTTCTCCAGAGTTTCCTGTCATTAGTGAAGGGACTTTACGTCTTACCTGTGTATTTGAGAACGCTGGAAGTTTGTGGGACTCCAGGCTAGGAAGGGAGGAATTCCTATAGCACGGTTCTCAAATTCACATCCCTGGGGCCTACTCGTGGAGATACGTCAGGGATACAGGGACCTAAGTTCTCACTATATTATACCCTATCTTGAAAGTGGCGTGCTGACCATGAGTGCTTCCACAAACTTTAACAGGTCGGGCATGGAACAGGATTGTACAGACGATTAATCAGACTATTCACTCTCCCCCTAAGCAGTCGCCAGTTTTCATGGACAGAAGTACTGCTTCAGACCCGCTCACCAGGGCCGTTTCGTTTTTTTGTCCGCCGGCCTACACTTCGAAAGATTTCGAAGACTTTGCGGTCTTCCATGCGAATACAACAGGGAGGACTCTTCTTCATCTATGCAGGGCCCTATTACCCTTGGATCTGGATCACCTATCACTTCCCAACGAGGATATATTTGGATGGAAATCTCATACTCTAGTTTAGTTTCCCTTTTTGGATATATCCAGGATTCACAGGTCCTCAGAGTCGTCGACCACCGTTTCGCTACGCTAGTTCAGAGTTGGGACTCTGATTGGATGTCCCTGGGGAGTACCTTATTCTACCACAGTTGTGGGTTACGCAGTCCATTTGGAGTACTGGAAACACTCTTACCGGCATAATAGGTTTATTCTCGGACAAGACCACTCACCCGATAGGTCATGAGGGAACGATAAGACTCTATTCGGTTCGGTTACGGAAATGATGGTAGACTCAGATGCATTACCTGAGGTTGGAATTTTGTGTACAAGGCCACATCGCCTGGTGATCCCAGCACGATCGAAGAAGCCATCTTCCACATCAAAGGTCGAGATCTGGTGGCAGTTTTTTCCGCGATCCTAAATCCACAGATGACCCTCAGTGTTTCACACTACAGGGAAATAGCTATTAGGTCAGCTTTGCAGTTCATGGACGTCTTCTAGGAAACAGGTCGTAAACCCACGTACAGTGGATCTTACAACGGATGGTGCATTGACAGCTAGCATCTTCATTGATCCGTCTACTGTCACTTCTCGCATTTGGTGGGTCCATTGGGGATTGCTCTTATTATCTCCAGTGAAACAAACAGCATTGGATTTGTTGGCTGAGCGTTAAAACAGCAAATACGAAGCCTCCTGTCATGTTATAAAATTGTAGATTATTCTAGCTTTAGTGTACCTATAATCTTAATTTTATTAATGACAGGAGGCGAGTATTTCCCAGCCATTCTTCTCCCACCCTTGTTTAATTTTAATAGTTTGGGTAAATCAGGTACGTATGCAACTCTGCTTGTTGTCTCTGCTACCTGTCACTTATGTCTATTTTTTCATAAGTAGGGTTGGGGTATCTACATATTTGGGTATTTTGGTTGCTACATTGGGTACCTACATGTTTGTTCAGAGTACATTTCATTTGCTAACCAACCTGTTCGATTCTGTTTTTTCTCTCGTTTCGGTTTACAGTCCATCAACACCATCTGGTTCGGCAGTTCCCCTCGGATGGTGGACATTGTCGTGTTCATTGTATCTAGGACTTCCTTTCTTCCTCATTATATTTTTTGCCTTTTGTTCTGTTTTGTCGCGGCTTGAAAGAGGAAATGATGCATGGGGAGGGGAGTTTTATAGTACCTAACTTTTTTCTGATTGGTTGTTTTTTCTGTGCTGCTGTGAAGTTCTAGTAAAGAGAGACTTAAGCAAATACTCGCCTCCTGTCATTAATAAAATTAAGATTATAGGTAAACTAAAGCTAGCATAATCTACATTTTTCACTTGCCATTTTCCAAATATGCTCTAATTGCTAGTGTCCGTATTTGTTTAGTCACTGTTCTTAAATTTAGAATAATAGCTGATTTACTCAGCCAATTCTGGAGAAATGGTGATAAAGCAACAAGCAAAGGAATACCTAACTTTCCTTTGAAAAAGTTTGACATGTAACAACATGAAACAAAAGTGCAACATTTTACTCCATATGTTGTTGCTTAAGTTGAAGTATTTGCAAGGATGTTCATCTAATAAAAATGGCATTTGAAGGCCTTATAATTAAGCCATTGCATTGGAAGATCTTATTATATCCTGAGGTAGGTCAGCTTTCTCTGAACACTGAAACATTTTAAAACATCTTTGTAAGAAGAACCCTCTGTGGTTGCAGTAGTTATGGTGTTTTTTCCTTCCCTACAGTGATTATGGTGTGTTTCCCCTTTCTGATGTTTTATTGCAACAAAGGACATGTCCCTGGACTTCTTTTTTCCCCTTGTCGTTGCTGGATTTTGTATGCCCCCTGACGTGTTCTTTAGTTGGTTCAGTAAATTAAGACTTTATTGCGAACAGGATCATATTATTCAAGTAGCCGAACAAAGTGTTGAACGACCGACCACCCTGCATGGGGAGTGTGCTGCTGGTTAACCACCCAGAAGCTGTGGTTAACCGCAGCCTAACTGACGAAAGGCTGGGTGGTTGTCGTTGGTATGAATGAACATGTGGCGGAGACCATCTTGTGTAGCTGAACGCGGTCAGCTGTGTTTTGTCGTTGAACGTCTAGAAGCAAAATCAAACACTCAAAGGCACGAACACCGTTGGGACTTCCACCTTCCTTGCATTTGGCTAAATTCACACAAACAGAGCGCTATTCAGTGAGAACAAGCTACCGAATGAGACGCATCCAATGGAGTTATGCACTAACGGATCCGTTCGTGCAATTTATACATTATTTGAATGAGAAGATAGACCAGCCGCACAGCCTAATTCTCTGGAACGCTTTTGGGCATGATATCAAGCGTGCGGTCGGTCAAATGTGACTTCCACAGAATTCGGGAACCCCTGCTCTGAGCTGGGTGATTTTTTTGATATGTTGTTCGCCCAGATCAGAGCTATATAGGGATGTATAATTTATGAGGATATGTTTGAGTTTTGGGGTTTTTCTGAACTTTGGGTAAAAATGGGTATTTTCTGCCTTTGGATAATTAAGTTATTTCATTAGCTCTCTTAACTATATCACAGGCAGAGGGGAGGCATTGCTGACTGTATGTTGGAGTGCTACAGTAATATTTATTGTTCCCATTGGTTTATGTTCCTTGTGTCACTGTGTTCCATCAGGTTCAGGGGTTGTGCCTCTGGCCTTAAAATGTGTAAGCCTTTTGTTCAATAAACTAGACCTTCTTACCCTCAACTCGCAGCCTCGTCTTGTGTTGTAAGGAACAGCTATAACTGC